GCTGTGGCTTCCATGTGCTCTCCCCGCACGGCGGGCGACGTCGAGCATCTTTTCACGGACCGATTTGCACGTCCTTGTCAGGGAAATGTCTGTTCCAATCTTTTTGCCCATTTTTGAATGGGGGTATTTGTCTCTTTACTGTTACGTCGTGAGTTTTTAAAGCATACTGTGGCTACGAGACCCTTGCCGAAGATGTGATTTGCAAACATTTTCTCCCATTCTGTGGACTGAGTTTTCACTTTCTCGATCGTGTACGTTGAAACATAAAAGTTTTTAACTTGGATGAAGTCCAGTTTTTCCTCTTACAGTTCGTTTGCTTGTGTACGCGTTAGGTTTCATGTCTAAGAAGTTATTTCCTAATCCAAGGTCACGAGCATCTTTTGCAGACCCCGTCCTGCAGAGTCTGCGTGGTTTGTGGCTGAAGACCAGGACAAATGCGCAGACAACAGCAGTCCTGGGGGGAAAAGGGACGGCACGGCACTGTCTTAGGATGACAGTCCTGCGGCCACTTCTCTCAAGGGGAGAGCGCCCGACCCTCACCTGGACAGGCTTTTATTGTTTTTCTCAGGCCTTACATCGAGGAAGGATTTATGATCCACTACATAGAATATTGTTGGCTACATTTTAGGTGCAGTCAAGGAAACGAAAATAGCAAATGCAGAAGAGAAAGGCGGCGAGCTGATTAGCTCTGTCCTTGGGGAAAGTCACACAGGCTTTGGAAATTACCTCGAAGACAGGCAATAAACATCTACTGTTTCAGACCAGGGCCAGGGAGGTTTAGCCAGGGCAAGCCGTGATAGTCTGGGTGCATTTTCTGGGTCTGGTTCCCACGGGAACACCGGTCCTAGGGTCCGGCTCCTGCCCACCCCCTTGCTCCTGTGGGCTTTCCCATGCGGGGCTGAACCACGTCCGCCGTTGCCAACCAGACCGGTTCCCTACGAACATTCGCACCGACGTTTTCTCCTAAGGGCTGTACAGTTTTAGCTCTTACACTGAAGGTCCGCCCTTTGTTTTGAGTTACTGTTGTATGTGGGGTGAGGTACATACAGGGTCCAAGTTCATCCTTTGCACGTGCTGTCCAGTTACCCAGCACCGATTGGTAAAGATCATTCTTGGACTCTTTGAATCGCCTTGGCCCCCTGGATGGAAACGAATTGACCGCACGTGTACGGGTTTATCTCTGGACTCTCAATTCTGTTCCATGGGTCTCTGTTTCCATCCTTGGACTACCCATTATTGGTCGATTTTTGAACTTTGAGTTGACCTTGCATTTCTGGGGTAAACCTCACTTCGTCATGATATCTCATGGTTTTTACAAATTGTTGAAGTCTATTGTTAAAGTTTTGTTTAGGATTTTTGCATCTATGTTCATGGCAAATATTGGTGTAGTTTTCTCATAATGTCTTTGATTTTAATATCACGGTAATACTAACCTCATGGAATGAACTAGACGTTGTCTCTCCTCTTCCCTTTTCTAGAAGACTGTGTGGAGAACTGATATTATTCCTTCCCGAAATGTTTGGTACAATTCCCCAGTGAAGCCAGATGGGCCTTAAGCTTTCTCTGTGGAAAGGTTTTAGACACAGATTCAATTTTTAAAATAGATATAGGGTTATTCAGACTGTATATTCTTTTTCTTTTTTCTGACTCTTGCCCAAGTTATGTGTTTATTGACTTTAGAGAGAGAGGAAGGGAGGGAGGCAGAGAGAGAGAGACATCGATGTGAGAGAGAAACATGGATCGGTTGCCTCTCGGACTCCCTGACTGGAGATCGAACTGGGACCCGAGCTATGTGCCCTGACTGGGAATTGAACCCGCAACCAACTGAGCCACCTGGCTGGGTTCTATATTCTTCGTAATGGAGCTTGTAGTTTTTTTTTCTAATATTTTAAAAAAGATTTTATTTATTTAGTTTTTTTAGAGAGAGGGGAAGGGAGGGAGAGAGAGAGAGAGGGAGAGAAACATCAATGGGCCCCACAATTCACTGCTGCTCTTTCATTTAAAAAATTCATTTCCTCCGTTTTCTGTCTTGGATAGTTCCCACGGCCATGCCTTCAAGCTGACTCATATTTCAGTTTATTCTGCCCTCACCAACCTGCGGTTGACCCCGTGCAGCGTTGTGGTTGTTTAATTCAGACACTGTTTTCACCTCTCCGAGTCCAGCTGGGACTTCGGGGGACTGTTCAGGCGTCCGCATCACTCTGAGCACACGGAAGGCGGCCGCAGTGACGGCGGTCGTGTTCTCGCCGCCCGCTCGGCCCGTGTGGGGGGTGGGCAGTAGCCTCCACTTCTTTTCCCACCTGGAGTAGCTTGCCCACGGGCACCTGCTGGTAAGTCCCCCGCTGCATACCTGACAGGCGCCTCGTGGGGACCCCTCCTCCCTGGAGCTCTGTCCTGCCACCTTTGGCCACTCGATGCCTCACTGATGCTCAGCGGTTTCGGCAACTGGGGGAGTCCCCTGGGCTCCCCCCGGGCTCCCCGCCCCTGCTCCGTGGTCTGGACGTGCTCAGGGGGTCCTGCGCTGGGGCTGTTGCGGGTCTCCCCTCCCTCTCCTCTGCCCCTCAGGAATTGCTGTCCTTCTCTGCCTGGTGTCCATTCTCTCGAAAACCATTGCTTCGTGCATTCCGTGTGTGAGGTTTTTGGCTGTTGCAGGTAGGAAGCGGTAGGGTAGACCTAACCCCCGTGGCTCCACCTGAGCCGGAGACGGAAGGCCGAGCTAGCGGGCTCTGAAGGCTGTGTACCAACGGCCTTCCTGTGGTGCGGGCAGCCTCCGGCACGTCTCTGCGGCGGCCGGGGGGAGTCTGGGGGGAGACCCCGTGGACATGAGGGCGCACGCACGAGATGGTTAGCAGCTGCTTTCACGCTACAGAGGAGCCGTGCCTTCCTTCACTGGGCCAGACAGCCGGGAAGGGCCCGGACATGCCCGTCCCCACGGCGGGGTGACCTCCGAGAGCCACAGGCAGGTCCAGACTCTCCCCTTCCCTCTGGGCCGGTCTCTGAGCAAAGTGCTGGGGGGACCTGACTTCTGGGCTCAGGCGCCAGCGGCTGGGGGCAGTGGCCAGCAGCTGGGGGCAGTGGCCAGCACGACGATGTTCTTGGCAGCAGAGGGAGGTCTGATTGTGGAGCCCACTTCCTCTTTAGTGTTGAACCTGACTGGAGTGGACAGTGACCCCTGGAGCAGACTGAGTGTCATTCTGGGAATGAGGGGACGCAGGGCCTGGGGTCGGCCTGAGTCCAGCCTGGCCCTGGGCCCTCACACAGGGACGAGGGGACTCCCTCTGCCGCCCAGCGCTGGTCCCCTCCCTCTCTGGACCCTGGCAGTGCCGACAGGGTGGGGCCTGTGCCCTAAGGGCACAGGGCCGTGTATCACTCTCCCAGCGATAATTTTATTTGTCTGATAACTGTCCTCCAAGCAGTAATAATAATAACACTGAAGCTTCTTAGAGCTTTCTTTTTTAAAAATTAATTAATTTATTTTTAGAGAATGGGGAAGGGAGGGGGAGAGAGAGAATCATCCGCTGGCCGCCTCTAGCATGCCCCACAACCAGGGACCTGGCCTGCAACCCAGGCCTGTGCCCTGACTGGGAATCCAGCCTTTAGGTTCTCAGGCCGAGGCTCAGTCCCCTGAGACCCACCAGCCAGGGTGAAAGTTTTCTTTCCTTTTTAATGACAATATGTTTGGTGCTGGTGCGGAGTAAAAGTCTAAACAATACAGCGCCCTGGAGACTCCCAGGGTCCTCCCTTCCTCCCCGCGCGCAAGTGGCTGCTGAGCAGCCCCCACCCCTGCCGAACAGGCCCCGCTTCCTGCCTCCCCCTCTCCCGCGTCCCTTTAACGCAACCCCACCAGCGTCTTCCACGAGGCCAAATCCCACTGTCTCCCAGCCCCCAGCCCTTCAGTGGCCCTTCCCTCGCTGCCTGCAGAGTGGAACGGCAAGCGGACCCGCCAGTTTGGGTGTCTCGGTTAGGCCGCTTGGGGGATAAACCGCCCTGTGGTGGGACCCCGTCACGGGGTTTTCTTTTAGAGTCTGGGTACGGTCCACCGTTGGGGGAAGGTCCCACCGTCGTGCTGAGAACTGGCTTCCCAAAGCCACCCTGCTCACCAACCCCCCCCCCCCGCCCCGCCCAACACACAGCATCGCAAATCCCAACCGCAGTTTGCCCCACTAGCCTCTCCAAAGAGCCCTAGAGGGTTCGGGAAATCCTGTTGCCTTTAGGACCTGGAGGATCTGAGCCGGGGATCACCCCTCCCCGCCCCCCGCGAAGTTGGCGCCGGAACTGCTCTAATAGGAACCAGCCGCCTGGCGCTCCGGGGTCCGGGCTCCTGCAGCGATCTTGCGGGACCCTCCGAGGCGCGCGGCGCGCTGAGTGGGCGCGGCGGTGGGGTGGGGTGGGGTGGGGCGGGCAGCGGGGGGGTGGCCGCCGAAAGAGGCCGGAGAGGTGGGCGGGGCGCAGGGAGGGACCGTGACCTCCGCAGCGTGCGAGCGCCACCGCCCCCTCCACCCGGGACCAGCAACCGGTCCTGGCCACCGGTCCTCCCCGCGGGACTTCTTTAGAATTGGGGTGCGCGTGATTTCCCAGCCAGGGCGGTCTGGGGAACTCTCCAAAAGGGGACCGCCCCCAAACCCCCCGAGAGTCTCTCGGGTAGGGTCCTCAGGGCTGGCAGCCTGGAGGAAGCAAACTTGCCAGGTAGAAGCGCGCAGCCTCCGCCCCGAAGAGCTACGGGCGCGCGGGCCTCCGCAGCCCCGACTCTCCCTCCCCCTCCTCCCCCGTCCCGGGAGCCTAAAGGCGCAGCCGGGACAGCCCGGAGGGTCTCACGTGGAGGCATCCCCTTGGGCGCCGGGTGCGTGGGCCGCGGTGGGTCCCCAGGGACCCGGGCAGGGGGTGGGGTCTGGAGCGCAGGCCCGAGAAGTGGGAGGGGACAGGTTGGGGGGTGGTCTCTGAGGAGGAGCCAGGCTGGGCGGTATTGTTCGGCACTCCGCCGGCCCGAGCGCGCGGAGCTGGCCGGGTAGGGCACGCGGGGCTTGGGGCGCCCGTCTTCCCGTGCTCGCCTCACTGCCGGCGCCCCGCGAAGAGATCCGGGCTCCCCGACGCACTCCGAATCGCCTCTTCCCCGCTCGCCCGGGCCGGAGGGGGGCCCCTTCAGGTGGGGTGCGCGTCTTCCGAGGTAGCGTGAGGAAGGGCGGCGCTCCGCGCCTGTGGGGCTGGGACTGCCCCATAGGAGGAACGGAGGTCCCAAGTGGGCCGCCCACGCAGCGCCCGCTGGGTCCGTGGACTGGGCTGCCGAGTGGGCGGCGCTGGAGTGAGGGTCCCCCACCTCACGCTGCCGCACCCCGTGCCCTCCGCAGGAGCCCGGGGCCCCGGCCCCCCGCGATGACCGCGAGCCGAAGCCGCAGGGGGCGCGGGTGCCCGGACTGCCCTCCCTAGCGGACGCGGCTTCCTCCTCGCCGCCCGACGGCGGGATGGGGGGCGGCGGGTCGGCGCTGAGGGTCTGCGCCGAGCACCGCGGGGGTATCAACTGGCTGAGCCTGAGCCCCGACGGGCAGCGCCTGCTGACGGGCAGCGAGGACGGCACGGCCCGGCTCTGGAGCACCGCGGACGGCCGGTGCTGCGCCCTCCTGCAAGGTACGCGCGCCGCGCCTCCCGCCCCTCCGCCTCGGCCCTTCCGGCTGCTCGCCGCCCCCAGGCCCCTTTCCGGGAGTCCAGCCCCCACCTCCCCCGGGGCGCTCGGGGAAGCGCGCCACCCGAGCCCGGCGTCCGACCAGCCGGGGGCGCGCGGGGTGGGGGCTCAGGGCGAGCTGCGATCCTGGTCATTGGGCCGAGGGGCGCCCTCTGCGGGGCCAATGTCACAGCTCAGCCCGCTGCGTGCAGTCGTTTCCGTTAAAACAGTTTCAACAAGCGAGAAATCGCACCTGTGCGCCCTCAGGTGCGCAGCGCCAGGGCAGGCCTGTCACTGGCCAGGTCACCTCTCTCGGGCTGGACACCTCGCTCTCGGGCCGTCAGGGCCGTGGGTTCCGAGCACTGCAGCGGGCAGCCCTCACACTCCTCTTGTCCCACTCGTGCAGACAGGGAAACGGAGGCACGGGGTTGAGGAACAGCTGGCGCGGCTGGAGCTGAGGCTTGAACCCTCTCTCGCATCCGACCGCCCTGCCCTGCTCTCCGCTGCCTCGTCCCATCTGCAGTTTGGCACGTTCAGAAACCGGACGAAATTAGCAGGAGTTTCATAACGATTTTACAAATACACGTCGGTCTCTGCGTGTGCACTTCCGCATGGGAGGTGGATCCGTTTCTCCCCCGGGCTCCCAGACCCGTCCCGTCAAGTCCTGGGGCCAGGGCCCCCGCGGTCTGAACCCTGTGGGCAGAGGGGGCGGGAGCGGCCGCAGAGGGCGGCCGGAGAAGACGCAGCTGCAGGGACCGACCGAAAAGAATGAAAGACTGGGGGGGGGGGCAGGGCAGGGGGCGCCACTTCTCATGCGGAGTCGAGGGTGTGTTCCAGCTCACCTGCCGCTGCCCCCCGGGACCCCGAGCCCCGAGCCCCTCCCGGACGCGGAGGGGCACTTCGACTTGCAGCTGGCAGCCGGTCAGCGCAAGGGTGTAAGGAGGGCCCTCGCGACCGTGGCAGGAGCCCGCGAGCCTCTGCATGTTCTTGGGAACGCAGTAACTGCATCTTATCTGCGCTCTTCATCCCTTCGAAAATATTTTGAGTTTGGCTTTTTTGCTTATTCCGCACAAACCCAACAGCTCGCTGCCAAGGCGCTGTGGTCCCTGGAGACCGGACGGGCCCTGCCTCCCCGACGCCGTCCCTCCCCTTCACCCTCCCTCATCCGCCCCCGGGACTGGGCCTTGCGCCTCGGTTCTGGGCCTCAGGGCCCTGGAGCCCTGTCTCTGGTCGGTAGATCAGGGTCAGGGGTTAAGGGCGCACTCTTCAGCCGCAGGGCCCCTCTCGGGAGGGGCTCGGAGCCAGGCCTCACTTGGCTTGTGTGTTCAGATTCCGGGTGGGTGCTTGGCGCTTGGAAGAAGGGGCTGTCCACGCTGCGGGGGAGAGAGGGGAGCACGGACCGCTGCTGGGGCCCCGGCCAGCTCAGGGCCAGGTCCCCGACAGGGCAGAGGGTCAGCCTGGCCCTGCTTAAAAGATGAGGGTTTTTTTGTTGTTTATTTTTTTTCACATGGAAAAACTTATTTTTATTATCACCTCTCAAGTCTTTGTTTAGGGGTTATATGGTTGCTGATTTGCCATCAATGTTTATATATATATATTTTACTTTCACGGGTCTTGAAAGCAGCGCCGTGCCTCAGTCTGCGGCACCCGCGGCGCAGTGGCTGCAGGTGCCCTCGGGTAACTCTCGCTTCTCCGGGTTTTTCTTGGCCTGATTCCCACGGGCGCTTGGCACTTCCTGTGAGATGGGAGGAAGCAGCCTGAGTGGGGATGACTCCCCACACGCGGACTGTCTGGGGGGCCTGGGTCTCAGCCCGCCCTGGGTCCCTGGAGGACTGGGGCCGTGAGGCTGCGCGGGGCCGGTGGGGTGGCACCTCCCCGCCTTCGGGGCTGCCTGCCAGCCAGCCCCCCACGGTGCTGCGCCCTCCTATCCGCAGGGAGGTTAGGGAGGTCTCAGGGAGAGTTTGTTGGTGATCCTAACACAGTCGATCATCTCTGAGGGCTGGCAAGGAGCTGAGCTGTGTCCTGCCAAACACACTTTGCCCTGGACTCTCACACTGACGTGGTTTTTAAGGGAAACACAATCTCCAGTTTCTCGGAGTGTTTATTTAATTCGCGCAAATGTTGTTTTCTCAGAGGCCTGGTACAGGCTCCCCAAGAAGACTGAAAACCATTTCTCTCTCAATTTTAAGTAAGTTCTGTTTCTTAGAAGTCAGGAAGTTGGATTCTTCTGAGAGTCGCTAAGCTTAAACTCAGCCCCCCGCTCCACCCCCACCAAAAGCATGAGTTAGCCCGAAACGGCCCAGGAGATTCCAAACCCCCACCTGCCTGGTGATCCTGGACATCTCCGTGAAATTTTAAAATTCGATCAAAATTGTTAATACAGTAAAGACGTCTCCCAAACGTGTGGGTATTTGAATCCCTCAGTCTTCTCACCTGTGAAAAGGAAAGGTTCACCTTCTGGTGCCTGAACGCCCCTCAGAGAGACTCAGCCTCAGTCCCCCGAGCTGGAAGCATCTCTGCTGGAAGGACAGGCCCCGACGGGGACCGTGGTCTCCTGGGCAGGGGCAGCTTAACAACACGGGTCCCAATTCCAATTCCACAAATAGGGCAATGTGGTTTTTTTTTTTAATTTTAAAGATTTTATTTAGTTTTAGAGAGAGGGGAAGGGAGGGAGGAAGAGAGGGAGAGAAACATCAATGTGTGGTTGCCTCTAGCGCACCCTCTACTGGGGACCTGGCCCACAACCCAGGCATGTGCCCTGGCTGGGAATCAAACCGGCGACCCTTTGGTTCGCAGGCCAGTGCTCAGTCCACTGAGCCACACCAGCCAGGGCACAAGGGAGATCTTTAAAAGACCTGAGAACTGGGTAGATAAGGGGGATGACCAGTGCACTAGGCTGAGACCCCAGGCTCTGCGCGGCCCTCCCTCTGTCCCAGAGGTCCATCTTTGCTGTGTCCCTACCTCGTCCACCATTGCTGCCAAACCCCTGAACTTAGGCCTTGGGGAGTGCGGGGTCCTCTCCCAGGTGCCCTTCTCCTCCCCACACAGTGCCACGGGGCCCGTCCCCCCTCTGCCCTGCACGTGCCAGGCCTGAGACTGACTGTCTCTGCTGGGCGGGCCGCCCGCTCTGACAGCAGGGAGCACGGCCACCTCCTCTCCGCGTCTGCGCCGTTCCCTGCGGCTGCCATGGCCAGTGATCTCACTGGGTGCCTTGGAACAACAGAAGCTCATTCTTGCACAGTGCTGGGGGCCGGGACTCCGGAGTCAGTGGCCCTGGGTGGAAAGCAGCAGGTTGGCAGGGCTGCGCTCCTCTGAAACCTGGCGGGGAGAACGCGGTGGGTCAGCACGCCTTGGCTTGTGGCCGCATCACCCCACTCTTCGGGGCCAGCACCCTCAGGTCTCTCTCCGCTCTGCCTTCACGGTGCCCTCTCTCTGCCTCCTTATTTCACTGTGGTTGCACTGAGGCCCGCCCCCCGATAACCCAGGATAATCACCCCATCACAGAATCCTTCACTTAATGACATCTGCCATGTGTCTTTTTCCAACAGTGTAACATTCCGAGGGGCCAGGAACTGGGACTTGATCTTCTGCCTGCCCCCGTGTTTCTCCCCCAGTGTGAGCACCACTAACACCCAGCATTTGCTCGGTCTGCACACCAGCCCTACTAGATGGGCGTTGTTGCTCTCCCTGTGTCAGACTAGGAAACTGAGGCACAGAGAGGGGAGACAGCTGACTTGCCAGTGGGCAGTCAGCAGCAGCTCAGGGAGCCCAGCCCAGGCTTTGGGCTCTGAGGACTAGGCCCTTGGCCTCTATACTTCCTGCCTCTGTAACGTTGGGTTTGTTGAATGACTGAGTGAATACCAATAGCTGAAAAGTCTGAAGAAGGCTGAAAGGCTATGATGAAGAGGAGGGAACAAAAGAATTCAGGGGAGGCCCTGGCCTGTGTGGGTCAGGTGGTTGGAGCATCATCCCATAACTGAAAGGTTTTGGGTTTGATTCCCAGTCAGGGCACATGCCTAGGTTGTGGGTTCGATCCCCGGTCCAGACGCATAAGGGAAGCAGCCAATTTGATGCTTCTCTCTCTCATCGATGTTTCTCTCTCTTCCTTCCTGTCTCTCAAAAAGCAATGGAAGAATGTCCTCATGTCCTTGGGCGGTCATAAAAAAAAGGTTTGGGGGCAGGGTGAGTGCCCCCTGAGTTGCTCCGGGCACCCCACAGACCCTCCCAGAATTAGCTGCTCATTTCAAAGGGCTAGTCAACTCCGGACTTGTCTGGAACGCGCCTGCCCCGGCCTTTCTTCCCTTCTTTGCCGTCTCAAGCATTTGCCCCAGGATTAAAGCGCAAGCGGGCGTGCCCCCCGGGCTCACGCCTGGCGCCGTCCGCAGGACACGAGAGCTACGTGACCTTCTGCCAGCTGGAGAACGAGGCGGCCTTCACGTGCAGCGCTGACCGCACCATCAGGAAGTGGGACGTGCTGACCGGGCGCTGCCTGCAGGTGTTCCGAGGGCACACATCCAGCGTGAACAGGTGAGCCCGGCCGGGGGCCCCGGGCGGCCAGGCAGCGAGGCTGGGCCCCAGGGGACAGAGAGGCAGGCCTGGGGCCTCTGCCCTGGGGGGTCGCAGCTCCTCCGGGGAAGCCCCCCTGTGCTCTCGTGGGTCGGCCACTGAGGGCACGTAGCAGTGGAAGGCTCAGGACGGAAGTGTCCCCAGGTGTGACAGGTGCTACCTGCCCAGGGCTGCAGGTGGGGGCCGCGGAGGCGGAGGTAGGGAAGGGAGGCACCACCCACACACCGACCTGGCTGCACCGCTGCCCCCTGCTGGGCACAAGGAAGGGCGTCAGAGGCCACAGCTCACGGGATGACACCCGATTCCAGAGAAAATGGCTTCGTTGGTGCCTGATGGTGGACCAGGGGCTTGGGGGAGGAGCCAGCGGGGGTGGCTCTGAACGTGAAACCCAGAGTAGTTTTGTTTTATTTCAATTTACATGTATTCATTTTAGAGAAGAGAGAAAGAAGCATCAATTTGTGGTTCCACTTTTCCATGTGTTCATTGGTTGCTTCCTATGTGGGCCCTGACTGGGGATCGAACCCACAACTTTGGTGTATGGGGATGGCGCTCTAACCCACTGAGTGATGCGGCCCCAGGGGAGCCCAGGGTATTTTCAGATATTCTGCATAACTCTGTGTAACTGTGGAGCAGCTGCCGCGGGCCGTGTGTTGGGAGGGATCGGAGGGGGAGGTCGGGGTGGACCACAGGCTCAGCACACGGTGGGGATTCGGGGAGGCATCCTAGCGAAGAGGTGCCTTGAGCTGGACCCGGGCGGGGAGTGTGGCCGCCGGGTGGAGAGAGGGGTCTCTTCCGGCCTCAGTGCAGAGGCAGCTGACCTCTGGCCCCGGAGGCGCCCACACAGGGGCGGGCGGTGCTGTGGGTGGAAGTGACCGAGGACGCCTTTAGGCTGGGCTTCGTTCTGTGGGCAGTGGCCTCTGCTGGGGCCCCTGCCATTTCCAGGGGTGCTGTCCTGCCCTCTCCCTGTCCCCCCGAAACAGGGCCCGGGACACTGCAGCCCGTGGTTTTCTCTGGGAGCACCCCTTGCTTCCCATTGCCTGGGCTCACTGGCCACGGAAGACACCAGCCACAGGGACCCTGGGACAGCCCACCGGGCCACCTGCAGGCCTGAGCCCTGGCCTTTCTCTCCCGCCCCCAGGATCCTCGTCGCCAACAACCAGCTCTTCAGCAGCTCCTACGACCGGACAGCTCGCGCCTGGAGCGTGGACAAGGGGCAGGTGGCCCGGGAGTTCCGGGGCCACCGCAACTGCGTGCTGACCCTGGCCTACTCCGCGCCCTGGGACCTCCCCGGGGCTCCCTTCGAGGAGGAGGCCGGGGCCGGGGGCCTGCTGGTGACCGGCAGCACGGACGGCACGGCCAAGGTGTGGCAGGTGGCCAGCGGCTGCTGCCACCAGACGCTGCGCGGCCACACGGGGGCGGTGCTGTGCCTCGTGCTGGACACGCCCAGCCACATGGCCTTCACGGGCAGCACGGACGCCACCGTCCGCGCCTGGGACATCCTGAGCGGGGCGCAGCTGCGGGTGTTCCGAGAGCACCGGGGCTCCGTCATCTGTCTGGAGGTGAGCGCGGCCGGCCCTGTCAGCCCCCCGCCCCCCTCTGCCGGGGGCCCCGGGTGCCCGCTGCTGCCCTGCCCCAGAGTCCGGCTGCCTGAGTCCTCAAAAGGCTGCCGTCCGCACCCACATTTCCTCTGTTGAGGAGGTCACCGGTCCTACCGGCTTGGGCAGGGGTCACCTAAGTGACACCTGGCGGTAGTAGGCACTAAGCCCGTGGACCCTGGTGGCCCTCGCTCCTACCGGGCCCAGCACCATCCGTGTCGTATCTGTGGCCCCACGAGGAGGACCCCACGCGGTCCTTATTTACGGTGAAGCTGCCGAGGAGCAGGGTCCGTGACTTGGCCAAGGGCAAAGTCCTGGTGGTGATGGAAAGCCAGGCCTGCCTGACAGTCTGCCTGCCTGCCTGACCCCACAGGTCCCGCGGAGCAGGGGGAGCAGCGACACCTGGGGGCCGGGTTGGGCAGGCAAGGGCAGGGGCATTTCTGGCTCCTCCCCCTTCTCCGCGGAGACCAGCGCGTGCCCCGCCCCTGGCGCTCAGAGGCTGGGCGGGGCCTCGGAGCCGCCCAGTGGGGCCCAGCTGCACCCCCGTAACCTCCTCCGCAGCTCGTGAACCGGCACGTGTACTCGGGCAGCGCGGACAGGACCGTCAAGTGCTGGCTGGTGGACACAGGAGAGCGTGTGCGCACGTTCGCAGCCCACAGACACAGCGTGAGCGCCCTCAAGTACCACGCGGGCACCTGTAAGTGGCTCTGCCCCCGACCCTCCCCTCACCACCCCAGCCTGCCACGCCTGCCTGGTTACTGCCTGCCCCTGCCACTCCTCCCCTCCCGCCAGGCCCTCCCTGCTCAGGGCCTCTCCGCGTCTCCACTTCTCCCGGAGGTTCCCTCCTTGAGCCTCAGCTGCCGTTCAGGACAGTCCGCGCCCAAGGCAGCGGCGGCCGGGCCACCTCCAGTGCACGCTTGTCTAAAGCGTTATCTCCAACGAAGGCCCGAGTAAGGGTGCGGGAACTCCTAACTTTACCCCACAAGAACATGCCCGGACCTGAAAGTTCAGAGGTCCTGGGGTCAAGAGTATGTCTCAAGGATACATGCTAATTCTCAGAGTGAGACTGAGCCAGGCTTGAGGGCTGAGCCAGGCTTCAGGGCTACATGGGTTTGGCTGCACTTGGCATTTAGGCTTGACCACAGAGAAGGGCAAACCCGGACAGCAGCGGGTTACACGAGGTAGTGGTTTATTTCTCTCTCAGATAGAAGAATTTTAGGAGCTGTCAGTTATCAGGCACCCAGATTCCTTCTGTCACTTCGCTTCATGACCCTTGGCACAGATCTTCCGTCTTTAAGGGGGGCCTCATGGTTCAAGATAGCTGCTGGAGCTCCAGCCATCTCATCATGTTTTCGGCAGGCAGGAAGAAGAGGGAAGGGCAAAAGGATGTGTCTCTTAGTTGATTAGGCCCCTTTAAATCTCTTTCCTGGAAGCCCTACCCAAGGACTTTTTTTTGTTTAATTTATTTATTTTCAGAGAAAGGGTAAGGGAGGGGAAAAGAGAGGAAGAGAAACACCTATGTGTGAACATGGATCGGTTGCCTCTCGCACGCCCCAGCTGAGAGCCTTGCCCACAACCCAGGCATGTGCCCTGACTGAGAATCGAACCGGTGACTTTGTGCTTTGCGGGATGAGCCACGCCCAGTGCGCTGAGCCACACCACTCAGGGCAACCACCCCAAGACTTTTGCATACGTCTCGTGGACCGCCGCCTGTGGGCAAGGCTGAATAATACAGTCTCTCGCCCAGGGACCCAGCTCACGGGATTAGCCAGGGGCGTCTTGTGAAGCAAGAAGGGCGGGGTGGCTCACTGGGTGGGTGGGCAAGAAGCTGTTGGTGCCGCAGGTCGAAAACGGTCACGCGTCTGGGCCTGGCCAGCTCTGTCCCACCGGCTTGCCGTGTGTTTCCACCCCAGACGCGCCCAGAAGACACCCACTGTTCCCGGGAAGCGGCCCCCCAAACCTCACCACAGCTATGCGGCAGGGGTCCCCCAGATTCCCGAGCATCTCTCCCCAAGTGATCCCCAGTGTTACATTTTGCCATCAGCCCCCTCTTTGCGCACACACACACACACACAGCAGGAAGCTAGCCCCAGAGGCGCTGACCCCGAGAGTCACCCCCCCACCCCACAGCACTGGAGTGAGGGGGCAGGCTGGGGTGCGGGACGAGTCGGGGTGGAAAACTCAGGCTGACTTCACAGCAGAGGTGCGAGGTGGAGACGGCTCTGAAAATAGAGCCCGAGACGCCCTCGAGACTCAGGTGTCTGACACGGGCCAGTTATGTTTCTCTTCCTCCCGTGTCCAAACCTGTACGTGCGATTCTGGCTCTGCTCCCGGGTGGGGGACCTCTCCTGGGAAAAGAACGTCGCCTAGAGCGCCTCCCCTTGGCAGCAGCTGGGACGGAAGCTGCCGCTGTATGGGATCCCAGGGACCCTGTCTGTGGCTCCTTGTCCGGATACCTGGTCCTTGGCCTTGGCCCTGGCCCCAGGCTGCAGGATGATCAGACTTGACTCCTGACCCTGCCCCCACCCACGCGAGGCCCAGCAGGCGGGCTGAGTTGCTGGGAGGGGCCACAGGCGCCCGTGACTTTCGTAGAAAGGCTGGGAGTAGGCAGGTGACACAGGAAGGGGGTGCCTGCTGTGGCTGTGCAGGCCGCAGGGTGGGCGCAGCCGATGCTGCGGGCACCACGTTCACAGGTGCCTCTTGCTGCAGCTCCGGGGTCTTCCCCCGAGTGTGTTCCCGTGAGGGGCGGGGCAGAGCGGGGCTGGGAGTCAACACCCACACGAGAGGCCCTCGGCCAGCGGCTGCTGGGAATTTCGGGGTCCGTCGCCCAGCGTCTTTGCCCTCGGGCTGGACAGCTCTGCCCCGTGGGCACCTCCTCCGGAGGGCTCGCCAGCACGCCTGTGTGGGGGTCCTTCGGTCCTGTCTCTCTCCACGTCCTGGAGTGTCCTGCCAGATGAGCTAGTGGCACTAAAATCCTGGGGCTGGCTTATGGGACCACCTGGGCCAGACGCTAAGGGACCAGAGGGTCCGTGTTCGCAACGTGGACCCTGACTGGCAGTGTCAGCATCGCCAGGAACCGGCTAGAACTGCAGGTTACCGGGCCCGCCCAGCCCGCCTAAATCAGAAACTCAGGTGGGCCCAGCAGCCTGCGTCTTCACGCGCGAAGCAGGTGATTCCAATGGCAGTGGGCTTGGAGAGCCTCCGCGGAGTTCTCCAAGGAAACCTGCAAGAGGTTGGGCAGGGGCTCAGCGCCCCCGAGGGTCTGGGCTCTGCTGGGAGGGCCGGGTTCGTTACTTGGAGGGGAGCGGGGGAGCGCTTCCGGCCTGTCCTGGGCCCCAGCAGGCCGCTGAGATGGTGGGGGAGGGGTGGCCCCCCTGAGGCGGGGGCTTCAGAGCTGCGGGGAGAAACCAAGTTTCCCCCGACGGATTCCACCAAAGGGCCTGCGTGGGAGCCTGGGCCCAGGGGGGGCTCAGGAGGGTGGGGGCCCCGGAAGGGCAGTGCAGGAAGAAGGTTCGGCAGCCACGGTGCGCAGACCGCAGAGGGCCCTTCCAGAGCCGCAGCGGTCACCCCGACTCCACTCGGGACTGTACTGAGACAGTGAAGGTGCCGCCTCCTTGCTTCCAAGGGGCTGCCTCTATCCCTCACTTGAGCCTTAGGACATCCTCGTGAGGCGGGGCGGATGGGCCCCGGAGCCCGTCCAGGTGGTTCGGCCTGCCCGCCCCGCCCCCGCCCCGCCCCGCCCCCGCCCCGCGGCGTCCGGGAGACGCAGAGGGCGAGCGGGCAGGCGGCCCAGCGGCGCGTGTGTCCACAGTGTTCACGGGCAGCGGGGACGCCCGCGCGCGCGCCTTCGACGCCGAGTCCGGAGCGCTGCAGAGGGTGTTCCGCGGCCACGCCTTCATCATCAACTGCATCCAGGTGGGTGTTCCCTGCCGGCTGCCCCCCGGGCCCCGCGGCTTGAAGGCTGAGCCGGGGCGCGGCCGCCTGCGCCCGCCTGCCCTGGAGGGCGGGGAAGGGAAAGGGAGCACGTCCCCACGCCCCCAGCACGCCACGGGCAGACCGTCCTCCCCGAGGCCGAGGTCCCCTGGGCTGACCCGTCCCCATCCTTCGGCGGTGGTAGTGGCTGAGCGTCGCGCCCCTGCCTGGGCCTGCGGTGGCTGCTGTAGGGCAGGGTCTGTGAGTGGCTGACGGCGCAGCCGCGGGGATCGCTGCTGTGACGCACTGAGGCCGGGGGTGGGGGGTGGCAGCGGGCCGCCCCTCAGCGCCCGCCCCACGCCCCGCGCTCGCCCGCCCGCCCGCAGGTGCACGGCCAGGTGCTGTACACGGCCTCGCACGACGGCGCGCTGCGCCTCTGGGACGTGCGCGGGCTCCCCCGCGCCCCGCCGCCGCGCCCGGGGCCCCAGCGCAGCCTCTCGCGCCTCTTCAGCAACAAGGTGGGCTGCGCCACCGGCCCCCTGCAGCCGGCCTGAGCCCGCCCACGGCCGCCCACGGCCCCAGCTGGGGACCCACGGAGTGAGCGCGCCCGCCCCCTGGCGGCCGGAGCGGAGGAGACGGCCCAGTTCTCCGCGCGCGGCGGTTTTCCCTTTCTCTTCGTTTCCGTGGACGTTCGAGGCTCCCCCGTCCCCTGCGAGCCGGCCCACGGAAAGAGACTGCTCGAGCCCCCCCCAGGGGACCCGCTGGTCCCACCCCCTTCACTCCGGGGCCCCGCATCACGGCCCACCCGGGACCCTCCAGGGTCTCGAGCTCCAAGTGCCTGAGGTCCCGGGAAGCTTTTCCTGCTGAGAGGAAACGGACGTTTCTTCCCAAAAAGCCACTGAGCCGCAGATTATTATTTTTGCAAGTGATTTTTCCCGAGGACGCTGGTAAAGAGCCGAAATAAACGCCCTTAAAAGTGCTCTGGAGGTTCTTGTGTTCTGCACACTGAGTGCCAGCTTCCGCTCAGAGGGAAGAGGAACGGCGCTGGGGACCGGGCCTCCCGCACCTGCCCCTCGTGGTGGGGGAAGTGAGGGGCTGTGGCCGATGGCCCCTGCAGGGTCGTTCCTATGGGGAGTGGCCGCGGAAGAGGCCGGGGAGCAAGGAGCCGGCTCCCCAAGCTGCGAGGTGACCTCGGGGACCCGCTGCTCCTGCTTTAGGGCTCCCGTTTCTGCATGAATCGGGGAGGGCCGTTTCCCTCCGTCTGGGGCAGTAGATCCCCGGCCACGTGCCCTGGAGCCAGCCCCGCCGTCCACGTGGTGAAGGCGGGACAAGGACACGGGAGTGGCTGGAGTACTCTTAGCCAGGGGGGCGCTTCATGGGGGAAGTGGGGTTCAGGCTCTGGAGAGGCTCGGGGGGAGCCGCCCCCAGCAGCCCCTCTCACCACCAGGAGGGGGCGCTCTTCTCGCTCCTGGCTTGTGCATACTTGATGCATCCACGGCGCCGCGCGTGCCAGGCCCTGGCTGGGCCCGCGTGCAGAAGGAGGAGCTGCAGTAGACACTGTCTGCCCTTGAGAACTCAGCATCGCGCGGAGGACAAGCCTCCCTGGGCGGAGGCAGCTGCTGATGCAGAGCAGTGGGCGCTCCGTTGTCTCCGTGCAGACCGTGTTGCATTAGCGGGACGCACAGCTGGAGGGGCCTCCCCTGCTCCCTGGGTGGCCAGGTCCAGGCCTGATGGGCAGCACCGGCACCCGGTGTGGTAGGAAGGGGTGCACACCCCCAAGCCTTGGGGGTGCAGGGACCTCCCCAGGAAAACAGGCTCGCTGGCAGGAACCTGCGGAAGCCGCAGCTCTGACTCCACAGTCTTTGGGCGGGACTCAAAGCGCACGGCCGAGGTCTGGGGTTCCCTGGGGGCCCCATGCCGTATCTGGGAGCGCTCACTTCCTAGCTGGGGACCGCCCACCCCGAGGGGGCTCCCCAGGACGCTGAAGTTCACATCAGGGAGGGCGGGCAGAGCACCACCTTGAGTACCTGTGCCCACGTTTACCCGCCTTTTCAGACTGCTTTGCAGACCGGCAGCTTGAGAAGCCACTGGCTGGGGACACTGCCGGCTGAGACTGCATTCCCGCCTCACCAGCTCCCACGTCATGTGAGATTTCCCACGGCATCCACACACAACGGAGGATAAGCGTGCATGCCACGCACGCCTGGGGACAGCCACCCCATGCAGACCCTAAGTCGGGTCCCCAGGAAGCATCGCTTCCCCAGCCTGCCTCTCCCGGAGTGGGGCGGGGGAATGGAAAACCACTGTTCGGCATTTGCAGTGCACAGCCTGGGGCGGGGCGGGGAGGGGGTGCGGTTTGTAATCGGCACCGCGGAGGCCTTTGCGAGATGCTGGACATACGGAGACCAGGCAGCCAGAAGCCGTTTCATTGCCGTTGATGGGATCTTCTTGCCTCTGACAAATATATTCAGGTGGACGGGGGAACAAAAACAGGAAGTCCCGAAAGGACACCTGGACAGGACATGGCAGAGTCACCAGGGCCAAGAAAGAGCAGACAGATTTCACAAGAAAGGGGAGGGGCGCCAGGTCTGGTGGGGCGCGGCACGCCCCGGCCACCGCCTCCCAGGGGCCGATCTGCGGACCCCTGCAGCCCCTCCTGCTGGGAGTCCCGTGCCGGCCCCGCCACGCTGCCACCCAAATCTAGACCCCACCCGCCGTTCAGGGTGCTCTGTACTTTGGACTCGATGACCCTCCCAACCCATTCTCTTCCCGCAGCACACATGGCCCCGTGACGCCATGGACAGGGCGCAGCCTACGCCTGTTCTTACCCCCTTGTCCCAGGTCTGGAATGTCCTCTTCTCTCCTGCATCCAGGCAGAGCCCCTGCGAGGCCCGAGTGCTCTGCGACTCCCCAGTCTGCTCCCCCCGTTCGCGTCAGCAGCCTCTTCGTCACCAGTGCCCTCGGCCCCCTCCCCTGCCCATCAGAGCGAGAGCGGCACGTGGCCACCGCCTGTCCAGCGGCACACACCCGGCCAGAGGCAGGACCAGAGCCCGCCTCCCAGCTCACGGTGGCGGGAAGGCCCGAAGGGGGACAGGGTAAACCCAGGACTGTCCCTCGCTCGAGAACTGGCTCCTGTGCACTGGCTCTGTGTGGGAAAGTGGGCCGAGGTCAGAAGCGGCCACTGTGGCCTTTCCCAGGATCGTGTAAAAAGCACTTGGGAAGCCCCAGGCCTCCCTGGGCCCGAGCCCAGGACGGTAACTTGTGAGCCACAAGCTGCAGTTCGGGCGCCAACTCTGACGGTCTGACGTGGTCCCCAAGGCGCCCCCTCATCCGCGGGCCGCCAGGGCACAGCCCCTTCCCCTCCTCGCCTGGCCTTCCTCTCCCCAGCACCTGCCCTGCTTTCACAGCCGCCGCCTTGCAGCAGGCAGTGGTGGTGCGGCGTCCGCACAGAGCTCGGTGGGAGCGAAACTCCCAAACCCAGATGAAACTCTGGGCCACCCGGGTGTTGCCAGCGCTCAGGACCGTTGAGGCGTGTGAGGAAACTTACTGCGAAGTGAGGCTGACAGCTTTCAGATCCATTTTCCACCTTTTACTTCCGCCTGTATCGTCCACTTTCAAAGAATGACAAGGAAAGATTCCTGCCCGTCCAGCTGGACGGCAGCCCCAGCGTCGTGGAAACGAGGAGCCAGGAAGTCCCAGCCGCCCGGCCAGCCCAGCCCCCCACCCAGCCCACAGGACACGGGTGGCCCAGCCACCCTCAGCCGGGGCCTTGGGGACGCACCCGGCCCTGGTCCCGGTTGGTCAGCGCCCAGCTGCTGCCTAGGGACCGGCTGCTGGGAGTTTTCGTGGAACACCCGCCTACAGGGGGTCGCATCGCGTGGCGCAGTGAGAAACGGTGATGTGAGCCAGGAAGAGGCTATGGATTTTTTATTTTTAAGATTTTATTTTTATTTATTGTTAGAGAGAGGGGAAGGCAGGGAGAGGAGAGGAACATCAATGTGTGAGAGAAACATCAACTGGTTGCCTCTCGCACGCCCCCTACTGGGGACCTGGCCCTGGAACCCAGGCGTGCGCCCTGACTGGGAATCGAACTGGCGACCTTTCAGTTCGCAGGCCGGCGCTCAGTCCACTGGGCCACACCAGCCGGGAGGAGGCTGTGCACCTTGTGAAACAGGGTCTGCACTACAGACACACCCCGAACCCCACCACGCCTGGGGAAAATGCACCTTCACCTCTGGCAGGCAACTTAGACAGCGGTAGGTTTGATGTAAGAGCACAGTTTCTGAAAATGCTAATTAAAAACAAACTGCTTTGGTTAGCATTGAAGACTTCCCTATTTAATAAAAGATTTTATTTTCGTCAAGGATTTTGAACACACACAAATCCTGAACTTCAACCTTGTGTTTCAAGTGCGCATTTCACTACACTGAGAGCATGAGACACCGACGTGGCTGGCGAGGGCGGCGGCGGCACAAGCTGGTGGGGGGGGGGACCGCCGCCCCTTCCCTCCTTGTGCCCCCAAAGCACCGGCGATGGTTGGGGACGGGGAGGCCGTTCGGGGGCGGGGAAGCGGGAAGGCAGAGCTGCCTCAGGGGGAAGGAGGGCAAGGCGAGGGGCAGGCAGACGGGAGCGCGCCCCGCCCCCATCTCTTCCCGAGACCCTTCCCAGGGCCGCCTGTTCTCCAGTCCTGCCCCAGGTCACCGGGGGACCGGCGCCCTGGCCCCACCCCGACTCTCCTCTGGCCCTGGGAGTCCCTGGCCCCGCCCGCCCGAGCAGGGAGCGCTCCGGAGCAAAACCCGGTACAAAGCAAGAGGGGGAAAAAAAGAAGAGCTGCATTACACTTTTCGTAACGATAGAGTTTATGAGCAGAAACTCAGCGCTTCCTCCTGTCCATCACTTAGTTTTGCTTCGTTGCCGCCTTTTTGTTCTCCACGTAGGACAGGTACTTGGCAATGATGACCTCCTCCTCCTCCAGGGTGGAGTCCAGGTAGTCCTCCTCGTGCTCGGGGATGTCCTCCAGGATCTCGTTCACGGCGTCTATCTCCATGTCCTCGTCTGTCGAGGCGCTGGAGGTACCTGCAACACGGCCCGCGGGCACGGGTGTGGGTCCGGGAGACCGCGCCCACCCACGTCGGCCCGGCCACGCCTTCCCCGCCGCACCCCGCCCAAGTCACGTCCCCACCTGCCCGCCTCCTGGAGGCCCCGAGGCCCCAGACCTACCTGCAGAGTCGGAGGGGGACGCGGACTCGGAAGGGGACGCGGAGTCGGAGGGGGACGCGGAGTCCGAGGGGGACGCGGACGGCGTCGAGGAGTCCCCCACCGCCAGCTGCAGGTCGCTGGGGAGGCTGCCTCCGTTGTGCGCCAGGGTCTGCGCCGCCAGCTGGACGTTCCCCCGGAACACTTTCAGGGCGTCCTCGGCCGTGGCCGTGTCGAAGCCCATGTACACCAGCTGGGGGAGGACACGGGGCGTGGGGGGAGGGCCCCTGCTGAGGCCGGGGCCCCCGGAGCCCACGCACGTCCGACAGCCCCGGCCCCTCCTGCGCCGCCGGGACGGCGTTCTCCTGGAGGGGACGCGTTTTCAAGCCCGCGGCGCGCGCGCGCCCCACCGGCCTCCCCGCACACGCCGCTGGTCAGCACAGATGCGCGCGCACCGCGGCCCGGGCAGCGGGCCGGTGCCCGGTCATCTCGGGACGACCACGAGCGGGCGAGCTGAGGCCAGTGCGAGCTGAACCCCGGCACCGGGGCCACTGACTCAGCGGCCACAACGTACGAGGGGTCTCCGTGCCGAGGGGGACAAATGC